GATACCACGGAAACTTCATATGTCAATCCTTACACGTTTAGATGACATCTCACTGCGAGAGGGTGCTGCGGAATCCATTATTAGACGGATAATCAGCATTATCTCATTAAACTTCGCATAGAACTTTTCTCAAAGTCGATCGTGATCGAGAAGATATTGATTAGTCTAATATGTAAACAAATATTGGAATAAACTAGTAACAGAAAATATAAGTTCATTGATCATTCTCTTTGAACTTTATTTCAAAAGTTTTTGAATATTTCAAACAAATCTACAGTTTCTCATCAACACAAATAGTGGTGTAAGTCTATGCATTCATCGATTGCAGTAGCTGAATTTATTGCAAACTTTTCCCTCTATCGGTGGCAGTAGCGCGGTCGGATCGCCTGAGTGTCGTTATCAACTGCAAATCTGCCATGACCCTTTTTAAGCTCTTGAGGACAAGATTCCTTTTGAAAAAAATCAAGTTTTTGAATTCTAAACTAACATATATGTTAGAAAGAAAGTAAATAAAGGCACAATATAGGTGATCGTGCAGCGCTACATCAGCGGTAACAGATCTATGGCCTGCACTAACCATTGGTCATACCAGTATCACTTAAGAGATACACGCAAATCAGCTACGAATCGATCCAGAACCGTTGGCCATATATGATCCTCTCATCTTCAAGTGGTTAAAATTCTTCAGGCTTTGGCATATTTTGAAATTGAATCGATATTAGTAAAATACGCCCGAATGGACTTCAACAAATGTCCGTTTCAAAGAGATTGTCAGCCGAAAGATTTTCGCTAAAGCAATGCTCAAAAAATGATGAACCGAAACAATAATTACGATTTTCACAAAGGAAAACATCTCACTTCTAGTAAAAACCTAGAAATAAACAACAATCAAGACATTCCACGAGTACTATCTACTGTACATCGATGAGTGCTTAGATTAATATATAATACATATTTATGTTTCATCTCGATTTTAAATAACAAGAGGAAGACTATATAAAGAAAGATTTCTTTTGCTTTTTTTTCAAAATTAATTTTTTCAATAATGCTCGATCTGTGGACAATTTTTTTTTCTCAATATTCTTCATTCTAGAGAATGATGTTTTTGTTGTCGATAGGTATATACATAGTCCTGTAGATGAAAGAGAGGACTTTTCAAATCCATTCTCAATGCTAGATAAACTGCATGTTCCATCAAAACATGCCTAGGATTTCGAAATTTTTGAAGTTTTACTAATCTACCAAATGAAACAAAGTGAAAATTGAGAAAAAAGGTTCTTTATCCCATCTAAAGTAATCAGGAGTTCTCTTTCAAATAAAACCAACACGAGCTCAATAGTTTAAAATATTTTTATAAAAAATTTGTCCGTGGAGAAGTACAATTTTGCAGCTTGGTTTCTGGAAGTTTCATTACTGGCAAGCCATTGAAAGAGTGACTTGTTTTTTTAGTATTGTCCTTTCATGAGCAGAACATGTGTGAAAAGTTTCATCAATATCTCAAATACTCTGTCTAAATTAGATTTTTGAGGTGGAATCTTCTTGACAAATGTATCAGAGTGTTAGATTTAGATGGAATTGGTCCGTGTTTTTTAGAGTTGAACTGAATTGATCTCATCACTGACAGCAAGACACTATTGGAGAATCTGAAGGTCTATCAATTAGTAATTTCTTCAAGTTAAACAGCAGTTAGAGGGATTGGAGTGCAATAGAGCATATGTTTACTAATACCCTAATGAAATAGATAGAAAATGATGTTAGAGAGCTGATTGCCAGGAAACTATACTACTCATATAGAAAAAAAGGAAAAATGATGATTTTATTCAAATTATCTGATTTGTGATAGATTCGAATCACAATGATCGTACAACACATTTCTCTTGAGTTTTACTGTAGAAGCTCAAATTTTTGAATAGTTCTTCTGACGCAATAGAATTACTAATGGTAAATACAACACCAAACCAACTTTTGATACACATGCTACACTTCAATATTTAATATCATTTGATGCTCAACAATATGAAAAAGAAGTCGATTACAGGCAGACTTTTTTTTTCTTTTTCTTCATGAGAAGAGAGTCGCCGAAAATTATTTCTAAATATGGAAAATTGAGTATTTATTTTTGTCTCACAGCGACGGGGGCTCAGCCAAACGACTTACACCTCTAAGCATAAATGAATAGTAAAAAGCGCAAAAAGTATAGCTGCAATTATTCTTCGTTTTTTCTTTCTCTTTCTTTTTCTTGTCTTTAACATTGTAATGTGCCAACAGTATTGCTCCCTTTTCCATTGTTGCAATTTTAAAAACGAGAGAAAAGAAGAGAAAGAATAATTGCGCCTATATTTTTCATGATTTTTACTAATGATTTGCATTGATGACGAACCGTGAACCAGTTCGAAATACCTACAACCATTTGAAATAAAATTCAAAAAGAGAGTGTGGATATTGATTTGTAGGTGAAGAGAAGATCCACACCCGCACCCACACCTTTGTCCGATGAGGATATCGTAATGTGTCAAGAGAAAATTTGGTGTTTGTCCTATTGGAAAAAATACTTGAGAGAAAGATCAACTATCATTAATATTTTTCACATCTATCACGATCGGAACTCATATAAAACTATTAAAGATATATTCAAGAGGAAAGTCAGCTTTTAGAATGATGCTCTTTAAAATAAAATACTCACTTGTATTTGTTGTCGAGATCGTCGATGTTGATACACTTGCTGTGGCTACAATAGATAGATAAACATTATCAATTATAGATTTCTTTTGCATGGAGAAAACAACATATCTTGCTGATCGATCATTCTCTTCTTTTCTCTGTCACGAAATCAATAACAGACAGCATCTAGCGCAGGAGGCACACTTCAATATCCATCATCAAGAGAATCTCGAAATTCGATTCAGTGTCTTCTATTAGGTTTCTAAAAACTCATTTTTTTCACATCATTAGGAAGTGACTATAATGGACATAATCAATGGTGTCTGAAGCCGGATGTGCATCCAAACGTAGGTAAAGATGAAGTGAAGACATACATCTATACGAAACATTCGCATAGTCTTTATCCACGACACACACATCGAGGAAGATGACCTCTATATGTATTAGCTTATCACTGTGCATTTCATTGGTCAAAACTGCATATCTTGGCGGAAAACTTTTTTTTCTATATTACGATTTGATTTTCGAAGAGTCATCTACTTTCTTGAAAATTTCTATAAGGCATCACATGATCTCGACGCGCATACGAGAGAAAAAAAATCATTTCATATCTATTCTCAACATGCTTAAGGTTTAAAATCGATGGCATTATATCAGTACTTGTAGTTACTGTTGATTTTGTGAATAAAACAATAATGCCATATAAACCAAGTAACATAATTGCAACAGCAAATGCACTAATGATAGGCAGCAGAAAAATGAACGGTTGATATGACTTCTTGTTCATCTTGGTAGTGCTTCTCTTCCGGAACTTAAAGTAAATAGCAGATTGTGTAGTTGGAAAACGATACCTGAAAAAGTAGTTGTGCATGGTTTCTCAATAAATAAATCGAGTTTAATCCTATCAATGTTATTAACTTGTCAATGTCCTTGAATGTTGCATCCCTTTGGTTCAGTATCGTTGATTTCGTACACGAAGAATGTCGATCCACAGAAGACTTAACCATTCTAGATGAACTCGTCGATGAAGATAAATAATGATTGTTATGATTTTGCTTCATAATCTGAGATTTTACCTGTGAAATAACAGATTTACTTCTTTGATTTATTTATTCAAAGATGAATCTAATTAGTATTTCTATGATATACCAAAGACTATAAGTACCTGAGACTGTGGTGTAAATAAGATGTTCCTTGAGACAGGAATTATTTGGATAGGTTATAAGAAATCTTGTGATAATATTTCGATTTTTTATAGTACTATGAGAAGAAACAGATCTGAAAATGTTGAAGTATTGTCTTCTTAACTATTTGTCTTATTCGAATGATTGCAGATATATTATTGATTGTATATTAATAAGGCTGGAGAAGCCATGTCAATACTAGAGAAGAATATATTCTGCTCTTTTTTCAATCATTCTTACAACCTTTCAAGTGTCTATTTAGAATGCATCATTCGCTGTATTATTTAATTAAATCAAACTTTTAACACATCATGGTGAAAGACCGATAAACAATTACAAATTTTCGATTAAAAAAGATAGATAGAATGGTGCTCTACTCAATTATTGACATTGAGCCACTTCAATAAAATCAAACTCGTAATATTAAGTGGACCCCTACCAAGAGTTGCTCCTTAGTTGTTAAATAGTAAACTCGAATGTGAAAATTTGGTTGCGATGCCTCCATCAGAAATGATCAAATGTTCCAGAAGCAGTAGAAATATAGTGAGAATGTTCAGAGATGTGACAAGCGCCTTGAATCGAATGGTAATCTTCTTCCTCTAGGGTGTAGGTGTTAGTTTGGATATTGAATGCATCTACAGCTACACGCACCCACACCCACACCTTTTCTTTCATGTTCATATTTCTTTATTTTGTGTTCCGTCGAATTCGTAAATGAAACAGTAATTGATAATTCTTCATTTTACATTCAAGGACTTCGTGAACAAAGTTTTCACGAATAAGAAGAACGGAGGTCATAAGCAAAAGAAACGTCACAAAACTATATACATATAGAAATGAGATTCATTTTCCCCATCTAACCTCCAAAATGATGATCCATATATGAAGTTGTATAATAGCACATCTCAATGACTAAAACACTTTTCTCTTCCTTGTAAAATAACATGACACATAAAATAAGTATTGTAAAACATTGTCGTATTCTTGTTCGACGTATAAAATGTCAATGCATTTTCTTTTCTAAAGACATTCTGTTTATTATATTACTACCAAACAGACAATCAACTGTTGCATTAATTTAACAGTAAATTCCATATAATTTTGAATTCATTATCTATATTTATCATAATTTTTATTTTAGTATATAGTATAAACATGATCATTGGTAATGAATTAGCTACCATCGATGTTCGATGTATTCCAGACAATCCACATGCCATTTCTAGTGTCTTGAATACAAAAAAAGTTCGTTTCGATATTGAAACAAAGAATCAAGGAGAAACAATAAAACGGACACCACTCAATTTAGTACTTATTCTCGATCGTAGTGGATCGATGGAGTCTGATAATAAATTAACATTTGTGAAAAAAGTTGTTGTTTCTGTTCTTAATCTTCTTCACGCCTATGATACAGATGTATCAATCATTTTTGAAAATGCACGAGCATCTACTTGTCAATATCTTTATCCTGTTATCGACAAAATTCAAACTGCTGGTTCAACAAACATGTCCGATGGTCTGAATGTAGGCGCTGAGCTTATGGATAAATATGTATATAATGGATATTCACGTCGTATGTTCGTCTTTTCTGATGGACAAGCTAATGTTGGAATGAAAACACGAGCTAAATTAACAAATCTTGTTCGTGAATATAATGATAAAGATACTATAACTGATGTATTCGGTATTGGTGCTGATTTCGATAGTGAAATTATGAAAGGTATTGCTGATGCTGGAGGATCAAGGTTTAACAAACATTTTCTCTACAAAGTGGGATAACTTTCATCAAAATCTGAGACTCGATTAAGCAGCTATATTGACATTCAGTCGTCTCTTTCGTGCAGTGACTTCTAGCGACAAACCAGTCAATTTTGTCAGAATTTAGAGTTTCAGACTATGTTGTACACATTTTCAATTATTTTAGCAGTTACTAACCGTGAGAGCTTGAGAAATTACCCTAATGGTCCAAATTTCATGTTACGGTACCAGTAGCTTCACTAAAAGTTATCGGGACAAAATCCTATGTATGTACAAAAAATGTCCATTTCTGCACTGGAATGACCATTTTTTCCAAAAGCTACATTATTTCGGCGTAAAAAGATAAGATTCGTAGAGAACTCGAAATTCTGGGTAAGAAAAATGTTTCTGGCTAGATTTGAGTGAATAACTATTCTATGAGGACTCCAATAATGAAGAATAGGGTGTACAGAGTAGCTAGGACTATTCCAAGAATAAAAAGATTTTGAGAGCTCTCATCGTGATATTCTTAACACGCATCTCTCAATCTACTACTATATCTGATTTTGATTCGTGAAAAAAAAAACTTTTTTTTT